AAGATCTTCTTTAAACTTCTTGCAAAAACGTTTTATGTGTCCCTTCTTGTGGCAGTAAAAACACTTCACTTCTCTACTAGAACTCTTACTACCCCTACTATATCTCTACTGCTGCTTTCCATTGTAACTCATCTTTGCCTTCCCTTTGTTCTGAGTTATCAAAGCTGATTCAACCTCGTTTTCTGTCCTTGAAGTAGATGCAGACATTTTCCCTAATTTTCTCTGGGCTTCCTCAGATATGGTGGCATCACAAATAGCTGTAAATTTCAAGCTATTTTCTCCTAGCGAATTCGACACCGCGGTCTTCATCGTCTCCTAACTGTCAGGCAAAGATGTCAACAGCCTCATAGCTTTCACCTCCTCGTCAATCTTGACACCCATCCCTTCTAACTTGTTCAAGATATCGGTGAGTTCATTAATGTGGGAATTCACCAAGGTTCCCTCCTCCATGTGGATATTAAAATACATCGTCCATAGAAGTATCTTTGTATTGGCAGAAGGTTTTTCATACCTGTCTTGCAAGGCCTTCAACAAATCTTTCGTTGTAGTCTCTTTCGCCACCAGACTACAAACATTCAACGACATTCTGATGTTCGCAACAGCCTGCTCATTCATCTCATTCCAATCCTTGTCTACCTTCTCTGCTGGTCTCTGCCCTAAAGTCTTATGTATCTTCTTGCACGTAAGAAGATCCTTTACCTGTATCTTCCAAAAACTGAAATTCTCCCCATTGAACTTCAGGACCCCTTCATAATAATGGTGTGCTTGATATCTGTCACCCATGATGCTGCAATCCTACAGCTCTGATACCACTTGATGGGAAATTAACTGACCCTGAATAATTTCCCCTGAATAATTTCTCCTTCCACAGAAATATCCAAACACAATCAAAATATATGAAAATAGGAAAAAAACTGTAAAAGCACAAAAATAACGACACAGCAAATTATACTGGATCACCACTAAGGGCTACGTCCAGTCTTCCACTCAAATGTGGGTAATTCACTAATAATTGTTTAAGGATTGAAATACAAAACTCTCSCCAAAAATATCTCCTAGAGGTTCCAACAAAAGCCCCCTAGCTTCTAAGTATTATAACACACTATACTTAGGTACAGGAATAAAAACACTCACTAAACGCACGGGATACAAAATCATTTTCAACACTGTCCACAACCACTCAAGTCCCTTTTATTTGGATTATGTATAAATGAAACCTTAACATAAAGGCTCTATTTATAAGATGCCAAATATCCTAATTCTTATAGGAAAACAATATTGTAATCCTTATAAGACAACAATATCCTACTCCTGGTAGGAATTGGTAATAGTGTTGCAAAATCCTTTTCTTCATAGGATATGAGTTTCCTGTTTTGGCTCCATAATCCCAACAAGAAGTTCGACAAGAACAAAAACAAGCGAGAATTTCAGCGAAAGCGAGAGAATTTTAGCGAGAGTAAGCGAGAATTTGGACAAAAGAGAGTGGGAGCGAGAATTTCAGCGAGAGAGAGCCAGAATTTTGGCGGGAGAGATCTGATGGCCTTTTATCACCCATCTCCATCGTCGGAATCCTCTCGCTGTCGGTCAGAATCTCCTTCCACTCTATCGAATACACTGGATGAGTCGTCGATGAAGCTCGGAACTGGACTGGTGGTCGATCGAAAGATTTCGAAACTTTTCTATAAGACTTTTTCGATGGTTTTATTGAAATCTCCGTCTGACCATTGCGCAATATTTTGAAAATTTTAGTTTTGTTTTCACTTCGATTTTTAAGGAGATCAAGAGAAGGGCATATATCTACTTTTTTTTCCTTCAATCAAAATGTAACTTCTTTTTTCACAAGCGACTTTGATTGAAAAAAGAACCCAGAAACCTTTTTTTTTTTTACAAATTGTTCATAATTTTGATGGAAAGAAATGGAGAGGAGGACGGAGAAAGAGAAGGAAGAGGAAGAATAATAAGTGTAGGAAGAATGGGAAAACAGGGAGAAGAAAAAGTGATGGAGGGAGAAGTGATTGAAAGAAGGGTAAATACGTACTTTTACATAAAAATAATGTAAGCATTTGTTAGAAAACATAAATTTTGGGATAGAGATATATATGAAGAAATTGGACGGAATAAGCATTCTCCCATACCTTTTATGTTTTTTAATCATCCTTTTCAAAACTCATGTTTTTTAGACTTTTGCTGACATTACCACATTGCCAATTTACTTAAGAAATTTAGCTGAATAGGCACTTTAAAAGGCCAGTATCATTTTTTAATCACCCTCCTTAAAATCCATGGTTTCTAGGCGTTTGTTGTTGTCAAATGACCATCATACCCCTCCTTTCATGTTTCTCTCTCCCTCTCTCTCATTCTTCACTTCCCATTTTTTCTCTCCACCATCTCCCTTATTTTTCTCTGGTTATACAGAATCTTCCACTTTCTTATCGTTTGGGTTTTTCTTTTCAATTTTTTGGTTTGGATTATACATAACTTTCAACTTTTCTCGCTTGAATTTTACAGGAAAAAAAAACTTTTTCAAATCTTCCATCTTTTTTTTTCGCTTGGGTTTTACGAAAAAAAACACCCCTTTCAGATCTTCCATCGCTTCAGAAGCAATTTCAAATTCCAGATCTCGCTTCGGGGCTATATCGCTCTCTCTGTCTCATTCTCTCTCCTGCTCTCCCACTCTCCCTCTCGCTCTCTCTCTCGTTCTCTCTTGCTCTGGGCCATTACTTTTTTTCTTTTCACGTAACAATAGGGGAAAGGGGAAAAGATACACTCAATAATTTTTTTAATTAAATTTTAAATTTGAAATCCAATCATAATTAAAATTAGAAGATTAAAGGAGAGATTTTAAGGAAGAAAAAAAAACCTTAAACAAATTTGATTTAAATTTCAAATTTGAATATGAATACACAAAAATTAAGGACGCTAATTTTCAAATTTTTAATTAAAAAATCTTTAATCTCTTAAATTATTTGTTAAGCATTTTGAATTTGACCAAACATTTTATTTATTTACTTTCCATTGATTTAATTTTGTTTATGATTTTATTTAAATTAACCAAATTTTATTAATAATTATTTAGTTAAATAAGATAAACAACATTTTATTTCAAAATATTTAAAATTATTCACTTTATAAATTGGTAAATATTCCTTCAAAATTAATTCAATAATTTAGGAAATTTATTCATTTTATAAATAGCTCTTTAAGTAATTAAATTAAATTAGAAATCTCAATTCTCTCTCTTCCCTCTCGCTCTCTCCCGTTCTTCCCTCTCTCCCTCATCTCTCGCTCCCTCTCGTTCTCTCGTTCTTCTCTTTCCCTCATCTCTTGCTCCCTCCCGTTCTTCTCTCTCCCTTATCTCTTGCTCTCTCATGTTCTTCCCTCTCCCTTATCTCTCGCTCTCTCCCATTCTTCCCTCTCCCCCTCATCTCTCGCTCTCTCCCTCTGTCTTCCAGGCGTTTTCCGGTGATATTTTTCTTCGACAGTGGATTTCACGTTTGCATCAGTAACATCTCCTCTCTTATCACCGTCTTCTTCGAGATTTGCTAAATATTTTGAAAAATCTAAACTTCCCTTGGATAGTTTGGGAGGAATAAGAAAGTGGAAGATTCTGTATAACCAGAGAAAAATAAGGGAGATGGTGGAGAGAAAAAATAGGAAGAGAAGAAGGGGGAGGGATGAGAGATAGGACGGAGAGAAACATAAAAGGAGGGGTATGATGGTCATTTGGCAACAACAAACGCCTAGAAAATATGGATTTTAAAGAGGGTGATTAAAATTTTTAAAGTGCCTATTCAGCCAAATTTCTCAATTTACTTTCACTACCCCTCGACTTATCTTTTATTTGAAAACAATGCATTCTCTCCCCATCCTCTCTCCCATCTCTCCCTTCTTCTTCTCTTTTTTTTTTCGATTGGATTTTACAAAACACCTCTCATTTTTTCATTCTCTTTTTTCGCTTGAGTTTTACGGAAAAAAAAACACCCCTTTCAAATCTTCCATCTTCTCTCTCTGTTTTTTTTTTGCGCTTGGATTTTACGAAAAAAACATCTCTTTCCGATCTTCCATCGCTTCAGAAGTGATTTCCAGATCTCGCTCTCGCTCTGGCCATTGTTTTCTTTTTCCTCTCATGTAATGATAGGGGGAAGATACAAAGTGAATTAAAATTAAAATTTGAAATTCAATCATAATTAAAACAGATTAAATGAGATTTAAGCAGATTGAGTAGAAATTTAACGAAATAAATTTAGATTAAATTTTAAATTTGAATATCAAAAGACTAAAATTAAGGAGATTGAGGAGAGATTGAAATTTTCTCTTTTGAATTCCAATTTTCAAATTTTTAATTAAAAGAATCTTTAATCTATAATTATTTGTTAATTCATTTTAAATTTGAATTTGACCAAACTGTTTCGAATATTTATTTATTTAGTTTCGATGGATTTAATCTTGATTATGATTTCATTTAAATTAACTAAATTTTATTATTATTATTTAGATAAACGTTATTTTATCTCAACTTTCTCTCACTCGCTCAACTTTCTCTCTCTCGCTCAACTTTCTCTCTTTTTATCTCCTTCCCCATCTCATCTCTATGGTTAGGCTGAACTTTCTCATTCATTGAACTTCCTTCTTCAGCAAACAACCTCCCTTGTCAACTTTGATGCACCCGCGGGTGATTGCTGAAGGTCACCGAAATCATGGAGGCTGCTCGTTAAAAAGAAAGGAAAAAAAAGAAGGCCAAGAGATTTATGGTTTTTTAGAGTAAATTAGCGATGTCAGCAAAAATCTAGAAAACGTAGATTTTAAAAATGGTGACGTGGGAGAACTCAGTCCAATTTCCCATATGGCCTTGAGAAAAGGATTATCGTTCCCAAAAACCCAGAGTCAAAGAGTCTTGAGACTTGACGATAGACCGTGGAAATCGTTCGTTGACAGAGGGAAAGTAAAAAAAAGCAAAATTTCCTTTTTCTTTTCTTCTTTTTCCTTTTTGGCGAAAGTGAGAGACTGTCAAAATTTAGAACAACAAAGCAAGTTTTAAATACACGCAAAAAATGTCCCTCAACCCTCGTTTGCTTCTCCTCTCTCAATTACTTCTCCTCTCCAGTCGCAAATTCTATCAATTATCACAGTTTTCTCCTTCCACTAGTGTGCGTTTCACTTTCCCAAGTCATAATTTCTTGTTTTTGTTCTGATTTTGATTAGTTCATGGCTATTTCTTCATGTTCTTGATCTCTTCGTTTTTTTTTTGTTTGTTTTCATTTTCCTTGTGACGAAGCAGGTTTTGAGCTTTGTTTTTCCACCCCAAGATCGGCTGAACAAACAGGTTAGTTGTCCCATAACAGGTTACTCTTTATTGACTGTTTTGAGTAAATTTTATGTTCATCTTTTTCAGGTGGGTTGATTTTTGGGCAATAGTGGGGATTGGGTTCTGATTTTCTTAGCTGATTTGTTTGTCTAAAATGTTTGTTTTCATTTTTTTTTTTGTTGGGATTTTCTCTGGATTCCTATTGTTTAGAGTTATGATGAACTAGTGTTTTCTTTCTGAAAAAGTCATTCTAGTTGGATATTAGAGCATGTTGTATTTGGTTTTGTTTACCCATTCACAGTTTATATTGTCTGATCTATTATTCGTTGGAGCTTGGATGTATGATTTAAACATGATTTCTACTTTTTGAAAACTTTCGAAATCTTAGCCAAATTTTGAAAATTGAAAAAAGTAGGGCCGGTTTGATAACTGTTTCGTTTCTAGTATTATGTTTTTGAAAATTTTATGCTTGATTTCCCCACAATTTCTTCGGTACGTTTTAACTTTTCTTAGAAACACATTTGAACTCTTAGTCAAATTTCAAAAACCAAAACAAGTTTGTGAAGACTACCATTTTAGTTTTCAATTTTTAGCTTAGATTTTGAAAATGTTTTTAAAAGTTAGATGCAAAATAAAGTAATACATTGGTGAAAGTAGTCAATCTTAATTTTGAAAAATAGAAAATCATAATGGTTATCAAACGGAGCCGTAGTTTTTAGAAACTTGGTTTTTGCTTTCAAGACTTGATTGAGTTTCAAACGTATCTTTAAGAAAGGTAAAAAATATACCTAAAAGATTGTTAGGTTACAAGCATTATTTTTTAAAACAGAGTACTAAAAATGAACAATGTGGCCTAAGTTGGCCTTTTAGAGTTTACCAAGAAACAAGATAAACTTCAAGCGGAAACTTGTTTCTTCTTCCTTTAAATTTATGGAAAGGATTGATGCCTATTTGCTCTCTCTAAAGTTTAAAGAGAAGTATGTTTCTATCACAGTTATGTGTGCAATTTATTTTCTACGTATTGCTAATCATCTATTGTGATGATGGTCATTAGGATTGGACTATTTTGCTGCTTTATGTTCTTATAATGGATATATGATTTCCTTTCTCTTTTAGGAGTGTTAGAATCCATATAAATGAACTAAATTTACCCAACTCATCAGCTTAAGTTTTTGGGTTGAGTGGTGGTTTGTTTATTTTTAAGATGGTATCAGAGCGAGATGTCATGTGTTTGAACCCTTGCGTTGTTGTTCCTCCCCCTTCATTATAATTTTCACTTGTTGGGTTGATGTGCTTTTCCAAGCCCACAAGTGAGGGGGAGTGTTAGAATCCATATAAATGAATTAAATTTACCCAATCCATCAGTTTAAACTTTTGGGTTGAGTGGTGGTTTGTTCATTTTTAAGGAGGTTCAAGAAGATGGAGTCTCATGACCAGATGGGATGCGAAACTCAGGAATGTCCCATGCCTTGCATAAACAACTGCGGCTTCTTTGGACGGGCATCGACGATGAACATGTGTTCTAAATGCTACAAGGATGCGCTGCTCAAGCAAGAACAGGAAAGACTTGCAGCTTCATCTATTGAGAACATTATGAATGGAAGTTCTAATGGCAACAGGAAGGGTCTCGTTGTCGCAGAATCGATTGATGTACAGGCTGGAGTAACCGAGACGAAGATAGTTTCGAGAGAATCATCCAGCATTTCTTCCTTGAACAAGAGCTGTGAAGTCAGCATGAAAGAGCATCCAAATCATTGCAGCACTTGCCGAAAGCGTGTTGGTCTGACTGGCTTCAATTGCACATGTGGAAGCCTGTTCTGTGCTGTTCATCGCTACTCCGACAAGCATAACTGTGATTTTGATTATCGCACTGCTGCCCGGGACGCCATTGCTAAGGAAAACCCTGTTGTCAAGGCTGAGAAGCTTGATAAGATCTAAAGTCGAGAAGCCTGCCCACCACTTCAATGCCTATGTGCTGAAAATACTTATTTTTATGCCTTGCATCTTCATCCAGGGAACTATATCACCAAAGTCACGTGATGGATGGACGTCGTAATTCGAACATCGTGGTCCTTGCTGACTGACCAAGATTCCTTTGATGGCTTCAGTGTGTGATTTCTTAATTGTGCCCGGATCGATCGAATTTATAAGTTTTCTTAGCAATGATATTCCACTCTCTATGCATTTCTTTATGCCATTGTTTTAAATGGTATCTGCTGCTTCTTTTATCACTTTTTCATTCAACATTACTTCTGCAGTCAGTAGTTTGGAGTAGTTCTATATCTATACCTTAGCAGCCATCCCGCCCGGCTCACTTTTGCTTTTTGTTCAGCTTGTTCACATTCGATCTGTGAGACTTTCATCAGAAGCTTATTGTAACTCAGAGTTTTTTGCGCTCGTTCGTTCAAGGACGCTTCGTCGGGGTAGATTATCAGCTGGGCCTGACAATTACTTCCTCCATGATGGGTAAGGTTTGATAGTTTTCAATCTAAGGAAAGGTTATTTGTGTTGCATGATGAAGATATTATTTGGTATGAAATATAATGCGGTTTATCTAGCCTCCATTTGATAATAATTTCGTTGTTAGCTTTCTGTTTTTAAGTTTTCAAATTGTGGGGTGAGAATGTTCTTAGATAGTAGATAGCGAAATGGGAGAATATATAGATGAAAGTAGTGTTTATAAACTTAAATTTCAAATACTACCAACTAAGAGCAAAATGGTTATCGAATGGGCCTAGCAAAGTCGTATGTTGTTTTTTACATGGTTTTTCGGCTTTCTACTCTAGACACGAAAAAGAAGGGACCTTACATATTTGTTTTAGTAGTTGTATAGCATCGTTATCGACCTTTTATGATGGGATGAGATCCATCAAACCGAGAACTTCGCATGTCCATAATATGATAGTTATTATGTTAGTTATTTGAAGAATAAAACATCAGGTCTTCCAAGATTCTTCATGATTATATTTTTAGTTATTAATATCATTTCTTAGTTTCTTGCTGAATAACTGGAATTTCTGTTCTGTATGCTGTGAAAATGGTACATGATTGCTAATATTTGATGAAGAAATCATAGTTTTGGTATAAGATAAAGTTTTACACCATTTAGTTATCTTATGATTTGTTCATGAAATTCAGCTATAAATTATTTAAATCCTTTGATAAACATACTTGATAAATCACAGTTGATTATCCTTTTGATTTGGTGTGGTAAATTTTGGCTAGCATTTTTTTTTTTATTGAGAAAATGAGGTTTCAAAATGAGAAATGAAATAATATATGACAAACCAAAAGACCAGCCCGGCAAAAT